GTTGCATGGCAAGCAGTATTATAATCTAGAAGATCCTAAATTACCCAGGGTTTTTGGAGAGAACTAAATAGGCTCAATCTGAATTATAGGATGTTTTAAGTGCCATTTTATGACTTTTCACGTATTCTATAACATAAACACTTGCGTAGCAAAGTATGCCCAATAGAGGTATGATCGGATCAACTTTAATGAAATGATGTGGACTGAGACCAATTTGGATTCTGCACATTTGCATGAAAATGGGTACAACTAAAATGACTTGAAATCAGTACGTTCCCAAGTGAGAGTTAAATATCTGCCTGCTAATCCTGTTTATGGCCTTCATTCCCTCAGCATAGCGTAATGTGAGCCAAGAACTACCTGCCCAACCTGTGTCCACAGGTACAAAGAGGTAATATCACTGGGTGTCTCCAATCCGGAAGATCTCTGATGACTTAGAGTTTCAGGGCATGTTAGGGAATGTTTGGCTGCAACTGTTTGACACAGATACTGCTGTGGAGGCACGGAGAAGCAAAAGGCTGAGTTTCCCTCGGACTGCTGTCACTGTTACCAGATTGCGTAGCAGCCAATCGTGAAAGTACATCAGTTTTCCTTATCATTAAAGTGCATCACCTTCCCCAATGCTTAGACTCTGGCAGGGTTCTAGAATTTTATTTTTTTTTTTCCCAAAACTGCAGTGATTCTTTTTTTCCTCAGTGTCATTAACAAAGAATATTTGCCAGAAAAATGATCAAATTAGACCTAGAAGAACTACAACTGGAATGTTCCCTCGATGAACAAGGCAAGGCTTCAACTCAATTAATTACTTTAACTTAAACGTGGTAGCAAGGAAATCCAGTCCCTAAAACAGGACATGTAAAATGCAGCATCAGGGACAGCAAAGGAGGTTCGTGGTGAGGTGGACAGTCCTGGTGGCCAGAGAGTGGACTCAAGAACAGTAATGAGCGTGAAGGTGGCACCACACTGGCAATAGTTTGTTCTGAGATATAGAGGTTCATTGTGACTCAGAACAGACGAGAGACAGCAAAAGTCTTAATACATGTTTCTGGTTTCCAAAAATAACAAGAAGGCTGGGAAATAAATAGTAAAAACTCGATCTTCTTCATCAAGCTTGCTAGTGTTCTGTTTCCTTAGAAGGCCTGCCGTGTCTCTGTTTTTCCGTGCATTTGACATACACAGCATGCTTGTATCTTGCCTGTCACTACCATTACTATGGAAAATATTTTCCCCACAGTCAACCCAAAGGCACGTGCTTCAAATTCACCAGCTGCTCTGCCGAAAAAATATGGGCACTCTTCTCCTCTGTGATTTCCTGCCCTTGAAAACCCAGTGGAGGCTCAGCTATGAGTTGGTTCTGACTTGACAGCACATAACAACAACAAGGCATATTACACACATTCACACATTCACAGCATTTTTTTTATTGTGTTGCCTTGAAATCTTGTTTTCTGATGGAGGATCCAACGTTTGTCTTTCTCTACCTTCAGAACCCAATGACATATAACACAAAAGAGTGTAATCTCTACTGCTGTTTATCGCATCTCAAGTTGAAATCTGAGGGACTGAGGTGGAAGGCTGTTCCTATCCTTGTCAACTACCATCAGACTGGCTCCCCCCATTCATGCAAAGCCCAGACACTGTGGGATGGGACCACTGCTGTTTATGAGATTTTCCTTGCCTGAGTTTTAGAAGTAGAGCAACGGAGATTACTTCCTAATGTGTTTTAGTCCAAAAGCTCTTGTAAAACTCTCTAAAAACCGTGATAATATTCAGGCTTCCAGAGATAGACAGGTATTGGTTGCATTTGAGATGCACTGGCCGGGAATGGGGCCCACATCCCCTGAATGGAAACCAAGAATTGTACCACCGAGTCACCACTGCCCTAGACTGGAAAGGATCAGGAATGTCTTAGAAAAGGCAAATGACTATGCCAGCGTGGTGGCACCTCGGTTATTTAATCCTTGGTGGCCTAGTAAATATGGAGTTGTTGTGCTGTTAATCCAGAGGCAAGCATTTCAAATCCACCAGCTGCTCTTGAAAGAAAGATGGGCAGTTTCCTCTTGTATGACTTACAGCTTCTGAGAACCAACTTGAGGGTCGGTTATGAATCAGTTCTGACTCAACAGAAATGAGTTTTTGAGCCTTATAACAGAAATACCATAGGTAGGTGACTTTAACAAACAGAAATTTGTTCCTCACTGTTTAGGAGACTAGAAGTATGAATTTGGATTTAGGGAACCTGCTCCAGACTGTAATAAGAGGCTTGAGCATAAGAGAGATCGGGAGTTTGGCACACGATAAGGAATGGCTCTGATCTGTTGTTCAAAGCTTTGCTATAATTTGTAGTCAATTCAATGATACCTAAGAGCAGCAACACTCAGAGAAATGTTTTCTTCGTGTGTCAAGTCTGGTGCTTTGGTGATTTTCATATGGCTTGGCGTCTGTCTTTCCTGTCTCTACTTCTCTCCCTTGTTTGTTTATTCTCTTTTATATCTCAGAAAACTCTAAAGAACACTGTATACCAATACCTCATTAACACAACAAATAAAACCTATTTCCAAAGGTGAGCGTTTTCACTGTTTCTGTACCTAAATTCTATTCCACAGGTATATGTGTGTCCTTTGGTAACCCAGTCGCACGCTCTTTTGATTACTGTAGCTTCCTGTACTCATTCCTCACATGTCAACCTGGTTACGTTCCAAAGACTAGGTCATTATGTAAAAATGAAAGGTGACCCATCAGATCCCAGAATAGAAGATTATCACATAACTGCCAAATTGCATTGTTACATAAATGCCAAATGGCATTTATTACAGACCTGCTGAACCACTGAGAATCATGTTACCCCATTAGTTGACACATGACCCTAACCAGCATTACTCTCACCTAGCACCTTGGCATTCCTTACCGCCAGATATATGTCATCAATGTACAGAAGAGTCAGGTAGTAGATTTTTTTTACTATAGTTGCAAATTCAGAGTATCAGGTAGCAAGATAGGTGCTGATAAGTGAGGAGTAGGTGTGCAGCTACAGGTGTGAGGGTGAGGACGTCAGCACATATTCTGGGCACACCTGATTCAGTCCACAACAGACAGTTACAATCTGCCTTTCCCAAGCGTGGCCGTGGACCACTGTGTCCTCTGTGTGAAACGTTCGGTGAGCAGCTGAGGAGTGACTGATAGCTTTCAGAGGACTGCCGTGCTGACCAGGAAGACATGGCCTTTACCATCAGACAAGTAGGAAATGTCAGCCTTGGACCTTAAGAGTCATTTAAATCTAATCAGTTCTCACTTCATCTCTCGCAAACATACCTTTTCATATGGGGTCACTGTGCGTCTGAATTGACTCAGTGGGAACAGGTTCGTTTTAAAACTAAAGAAACAATAGTGCTCCCATATTATTTCACTCAGTGTTTCAGAGCTTTGCCAGGAGGCCCTCAGCAAGATGACCTCATTCTATGGGGAGATCCTACTTCTCTGGGATGGGACTATACCAACATACTTTTGTTGGAATGAAAAGAAAAATTTAAGAACTGTTGCATTTATATTGCCAATATGTTGTTGTTGTTGTTACTGCTGCTACTGCTCTGCTGTCTTAAGTTCACAATGGTATGATGTTGATAGATGAGGAAATGCTGAGTACATGGATGTCTGACTTACACTTGAATGCCCTCAACCTCTGGGCCTATATCTAAATGAAAAGGAGAGTGGGAGAGTGGATTTTGGGTGGGTTTGTTTCGAGGATTTTATGGTTGGATTTTGGTTTTTTTGTTTGGTTTCTTTTTTCTTTTATTTTTCTGGTGGTTGTTGGGGTGTTTGTTTTTCCCCCAGACATTGTGCTTATTCTAGAAGGTGCCTAGAAATCTTTGTTCCTGTCTAGGGAATGGAAGATAACCAAGCCTTTGGCTGATGGCTGTATCAGGCCAGAGGAAGTAGCAGGTTTTAATAGAGTTGGAGTAAGAGAAATAGCAGTAACGGTGAACCGACTCGGAGCCCGCCGCTGCTGTCAACACGTGACATGCATTGGCTCCACTGGACGCTCACAGCAGCCCCTAGGAAGCGGTGCTGTGATATCCATCCCAGTTTTACAGTTTAGGAAACTGAAAGCTTGGAGAGGTCAAGTAACTTGCTCATGATCACACAGCTGGGACGAGACAGAGCCTGGACGCAAGCCCAGGAAGCAAGGTTCCGGAAGCCCTTCCAGGCTGTGGGAAATCTCCAGGCTCTTGCAGAGACAACTCACAAGAGTTCTTCCTCTGGCTCTTTGGTTTTTTCCAGCATCATAAAGGCATGGCTTATGATGCATTTGATGCTCGGCGCTCAGAAGCCCTCACACGACGTTTACTGCACACCCATCACCAACTTCTGGCGGGCTGGTGTCTCCCCTGGGTCAGGCTCATTCTCCCTCCATGGCTTGGTGTACGCTTCTCTCAGCTCCAAGAGTTTCTTTGGTTCCTCTCATCCTCACGACCATTTTGGCTCAACTTCTCCAACACCTTCCTTCAGCTCTTCCGTACCAAACGTGCTTAGCCATCTGATTGTGTAGGCAGGTAACACTCAAGCTGGTGTTCACTTGTCGCCCAGGTTTACTTCTCACTTACTCTTGTCTCCCCCGCTGGAGGAGATAAGAGTTCTCTGGAGGTGGGGAACCTTTAACGGAGCTACTTTGCCCCCTGAGAACCACCCCTTCCTGCCACACACAGTGTGTCCTCTGTGAAGATGGGCTCGCAGAACTGCTAACAGCTGGGTTGGCTGATAGGTTCTCCTGTTTCCTCAGGCCTCTCTGCAGAGCAGCCACCCAGAAGCATTGGCATGGCTCATCGGAACCACAAAACCAGTCAGACTGATATTTTTGTTTGTTTTCTAAAATGCCATTCTCCTTGGACTCGAAGGAGGGCAAGTCATTTAACTGTCCTCTTAAGATCACTTCCAGGTTTTCCAATTTTTGACTTCTTGTTCCTTTCAAGTAACTGGAAGCCTTTGGGGTTGTTGTTTTTCAGGGATGCCAAGTCCCCACTTAAAAGCGGACCAGACTCCAGCGCATAGTAAGAGCGAGGCCTCGGTGTCGACCATGATGACCAGGAAGAAGCCAGCCACAGGCGAGAGTGTTGTGATTCCACCAACCCCAGTGTTATCTCTCCTGGCTGCATCCACAGCAACTTCGGACGCAGGTGAGCGTTTTCAAATGCATTGGGTTCTCCCAGGAGATGGTCGGCATGGAGAAAGAGGACGGAGGGTGTTCTGATACAAGTAACATTTCTCTGTTTACCTAACCTGCCATAAACGTCGACCGTTGGTTGTTGTTAGTTGCTCTTGCTCTACTTTTCCCTCATGGTGACCTTATAACAGAATACAAGGTTGATTGGCCCGATACACAGTTATGATCACTGGTACCAGTCTTCTGATGAGCCAAGAGTTCAACAGGGACCCTAGAGGGAAGGGGACTTAGAGGTCTTTCTAATACCTGTCCAGTAAGTATCAATTAAATAACAACAATATTGCTTTTTCGCTAGCCTTACTTATAACTAGTCTCTGCTCTTGCAGTGTGCATTAAGGGCTTTACCTGGGAAATCTTCTAGAACTCTTAACAGAACTCTGTGAAATAAGTATGTTTATCTTCATGTTCAGAAAAGGAAGCCAAGAGTTAGGAGTATACTGATCCAGAATACAGTGGACACTCAGGATCCCACCTGAAGACCAAAGCCCACACTCTCAACCACTGTGGTTCACCGTCTCCCTTTACTTACAAGACTTGGGAGAAAGAAATTGCTGGGTTTCCTTGAGTTCTTCATTCTCCCTCCTCTATGATTTCATAAAAGACCTGGCTGGTGGTCTGTAAAACCTAAACTCCTAAAAAACAAAACAACAACAACAAAAAAGAAAAACCACCTAAACTCCTTATTCAGACCTCCCAGGTTTCCTGCAGTCTGTTGCCTTCCACAGCTTTCCACCTCCACTCCCTGTATTACCATCCACCATCTCATCACCTCTTTGCCACACTCATCCCTGGCACCAGGAAAGCAGGCCTTGGACTTGGCTTAGGGCTTGTCCTTGGCACCAGCCTTGTGATGCACATTCTCCAGATCCTCAACACTCAGCCAGTCACAGCTCCTCTGAGCTCAGTGTCTGTACCACTTCTCAACCACCTGCTCACAAAACACTAGGGAACGTCTTCCCTTTAACTTCTCCCTGTCACCAAACCACATCCACCTCAAAGGCAGCCAGAGGCCATCATCTACTATTCAGTTATTTTTCCGGCTCACAGAATGATGGCATGTTCCTTAAACATTTGTTGCATTAACACATTAGTAAATGTTAAGCATATTGCAGCATTTAGAAGTGAGTGCTATGAGGAGCCTCATTACGGATATTCAGTCCAAGCTCATCTTCTAATTGAGCAGGTTGTTTTGAGTGGAGAACTCAACCTGACTCTTTTCCTGCCTCCTTCATGGAAAACGCTGGTAATCAGGAAATCAAGCCCTATTGATGGGTCAAATGTGAGAATGGTTACCCATGGTGGACAGTGTTTGCTGGAGCTCCCCGATTAAAACAAGCTTGGAAGCAGAAGTGGCATCCACTTCTGAAATAATTTGCCTCCAGAAACTCTTATGAATGTAGAGAAATGATGAAAGTTATGCAAATGTTCAGATCTTTAGTTTATAGGGTCATTATGAGTTATCTGCGACCCAACTACACTTAATAACAACAACATTGAAAATTACAGAAAAACATATTTAGAAGGACATTTTCCAAACTCATTTTGACAAATATAAATAGGTGGGGTTTTTTGAGGGGATGTAAGTAAGTGTAGGGAATGATGCTGAAATTGCTCTTCCTGCAGACCTTTTCAGTGCCTTTACGTTACCAGTGTGCATTGTGAAGCTCTGAAAGGGGGAAAGAGAGAATAGTCTTGACTCCCTAATGTCTTTTTTCCCCCCTGGATTTCTCTCTTAATATCTCTTGGGGATAGCATTTTACTCAGCAGCTTGGGCAATATTGCTCTGAGGGAATTGAGAACCGCTCACAAATTTTATAAAGAACCTCACAACTTTCACATCCAGCGTGCAAAATAAAAAGTGTTTCATGGAAATGCCAGGTAAAATGGCACCAATATCAAAGGAGATGAGGCCAGGGGAGGGGCAAAACTTGCTCCCACATCTTTGGACGTGTTATGAAGAGCTACCAAGAGTGGAGAAGGACATCATGCTTGATAAAGTTGTGCATCAGAGGAAAAGACAAAGACCCTTAACAAAGTGGGTTGACAGAGCGGCTGCAGCAGTGGGTTCCCGCCCGCAGCAGCTGTGAGGACAGTGCAGGGTTGGGCAGAAGTTCATTCTCTGGTGTCGTTGCTGTGACACAGAACCACCCTCACTGCACCTGACAACAGAGGAGGGGTAGACACAGATGGAAGAAGGTTGTGCTAGCCTCACAGGGGGTTGGGCAGCACGTTGGGGTGGTTCATCTTCCAAGCACTGTGGACAGAATCCTGGAGCCATCTTTTGCCGGAGTGAAAGATTCAGGCCACAGTGTGCACGGATCAGCCAGATTATTGCTTCTTCAACCTTGCCGGTTAAGCACCGGAGACCTCCCTTTATGTATTCAGAAATTAGCCCGTGTGTTTCCTCCTTTGGTTGCCAAGCGCGGATATTTCCCAGGGGCAAAGGACAGGTGGTCTTCAGTTTTCCCTCCCTGCACTCTTTTGGTTTCGTATGAGAGAATACGTCCTCAGGCTCACATTCTGCCAGATACGGGCTTCCCTCCTCTGTTGCGTTCAGTAAATAATTTACAAATATGCCAAGCAGGCGGAAGAAGCAGGTGGATATTAAACTTTTAAGCTGGCCTCACTGGTAATGGGAGCTGAGCCCAAAGTCTCCTGTTTCAGGATGCAGGGACGGGCTGTTTGGTTTTTGGCAATACTGAAGTGAGACTCTCGGGAGAATTCTGCAGCTTTGGTCCATTTCCGGATCTCAGGCTGCTGAAAAGAGCTTTCGGGGGGAAAGAGAGAAAGGCCAGGGATCTACCCCAGGTGCTGGAAGCCAGACCTCCCCAACATTCCATTCCCCACAGATAAATAGCTTCCCCCAACCCTGAGAGAATTCGCAACTCACACAGCAGCCTTGCATCCAACATCCGTGTTCCACAGGTGAAGAAACTGACACTCTCTGAGATTAAGTGATTTGCCCGAGACCGTGCAGTTGGATTGGAACTGAAATTTCCTCGCTTTCAGGAAGCAGGTTCACTTCTGTCGGGGGCTACCTTTATCAGAGGCAAATTTTATTCCCCCTGAAGACTCTTGTGGTGTAATGCATAAAGTGTGAGATCACGAGCCCAAAGGTCAGTGGTTTGAATCCACCGGTTGCTCTGAGGGAGAAAGAGGGACAGTCTCTCATTGTAAATAGTTATAGTGTCAGAACTCGATGGGGAGTTGCCAGAGGTCAGAGTCTACTTGGCAGTAATGGGCTTGATTTGGGGGGTTAACCTTGACTCTTCTGTTTGAGAACAGTGTGTGACTTTTCATTTGATGTTGTTTTGGTTGTTGTTGTGTACCATCGAGTCAGAACTGACCCATAGCTGACCCTCCAGTGGGTTTTCAAAGGCAGTAATCTCATGGGAGGAGATTGCCCTTCCTTCTCCCGCAGAGCAGCTGGTGGCCTCGAACCATGAACCTTCAGGATTACAGCGCATATTCTTACCACTAAGCCACCAGAGCTCCCTTATAATTTGCTAAGTGTGGGTAATTTTAACTAAGACCGACCATATATATTGTCAGCTCCACTGAGTGAACTCTCTTCACAATAGCTTTCTGCATAACACGTTGAAATGTTGCCCCATCTTACACCGTCTTTACCATCACTGAGTCCATTGCTGTAACTGTTGCATCAGTCCATCTCACTGAAGCGCGTCCATTTTTTGTTGGCTGTCTTCTTTGCCATCATAATGTCATGTTCTGGCAAGTTGTCTTTCTTGATGACCTGTCCAGTGTGAGGCGCCGAATGCCACTATTTTCAGTCCTAAGGAGCATTGCGATTGCATAGCCAAAACCAGCATGATGATGCTGCCTCACCATGAGTTTTCTAGAAGGTTCCAAGGCTTTTCATCTTCATGAGAGGAGACTGTTCATCTTTTTCCTACAGTGGCAGTAGATTTGAACTGCCAACCCTTTAAATAGTAGGCTGATGTCTTAACAGACTACACCATCAGGATGTTTTTGTAGTTGTTGGTTTGTTGGTTGGTTGGTTGGTTGGTTGGTTGGTTGGTTGGTTGGTTTCCTTAAAAATTAAAATGCAAAACTCATTGTTTTGAGTTGAAGATCACTCATAGTTGACCCTGCAGCAGAGTTTCAGAGGCTGTAAATTGCATAGGAGGAGAGAGAGAGCCCGTTGTTTGCCCTTGGAGCAGCTGATAGATTTGAACCACCTGGCTTTGAGTTAGCAGCACAGCTTCTTACCCACTGGGCCACCAGAGTCCCTTTGTGGTTGTATATTAGGCAATTAATGTTTTCTGGGTTTGGTTTCCTCTCACTGGGTGCTTGGGCAGTATAGTCACGTATATTGCTGATGAGACTTCTCAGTTGAATTTCTGATTTCTCAAGAGCCCTTTTCTTCATCTTTCACTTTAATGAAGGCAATTTATAATTACTTCTATCTACATAGAAAAATCAGCTTGGTTTCCAGTAGGTCATCATTTCTACAGAATGGCTTTAGTGGCCCAGACAACTGCAGAGGAGAAAGAAAAGGGAAACTAAAATGCATAAAAAAGAAACACAAATAGCGCAAATAAGTCAATTTTCTTTAATTCAAAAATGTGTGCCACAGTACCTAGTGCAGTCACTGAGATACAGTAGAGTAGGTACGCAGTAAGTAGTGACTGAACAGCATGACGGGATGAGACCCAGAAGTTGGTGCTTACACAGGACTAAACATGGTGAAACGTCTGAGCAAAACCCATTTAAACTTGAAACCATTTTAAACAATCAAATGGAATACATTTGAGAGACACTGTGTAGGCTTTTGGTAAATATTTGTCAAATAATTAATCAGTCTTAACAGTACCTTTTCAAACAGATGATTTTTGGTTAAAAAAATGTGAAAAGGAAACATTTTCCACCTTGTTTTATAAACATTGCAGTGTGAGGGAAATGAATGTGAGTCCCAGGTTTAAACATACAACT